CTGCTGGTGGCAATTTTGTAACTGAAAGCCAACTTACTTTCTGTTTTTTTATCTTTGGCTTAAAAAGTATTCAGACAAATAGTTTTGTTAGTAGAAACAAAATGTTCGTGACGACCAACAGCCGGCAGGTTAGATAATTTTCTTAAAGAAAAAAACATTTACACACAAATGTAAGTTTTATTTTTACAAAGACCGCATGACAATAGCTAGCTAAATACAATCAAAAGAAAATGTAATCTATTAATTTTTGTTTGTATGGAATAGTTACGACATTTAAACCAGATCAAACCTTTTTCTGTCTTTCCTAATGTGGAAAAAAAAACCCTCCATGGGCTGCGTTAAGAATAAAAAAAAACCATTGAAACCTAACGAAAGTTAGGTTTAAAATTTTTTAGTGAATTCTTAGATATATGCCCACAATTAATGAATCTTAAACAAGAGAAGAAAATATTACATAAAATTTATAAAAAAAACACAAAAATTAAAAAAGCAAAGCACTTGGGGATAGAACATGAAAAAATACTTCAAATCACATACAAGCCGGATTAAAAATAAACAAAATACAAAGTAGAAAAAAGCAAGACATTATGTGATCTTAGCCGAACCTAGTCATCACTTTCAGTAAAAAATACCCCCCCCCACAAAAAACAACAACAACAAAATCAACACAAGGCAGAAAACTACACCCAGGTTATATGCAACTGTTAGTGTTTTATTAGTTGGTTCATGCGGCAATGTTATTGATACAGATAGTTCTAAATCGACACAGATACAATTCTGAGTTAAATTCAGAACATGCTGTCCAGAGCGTGATCATTCTGGGGACAGAACCAAGGGGCGTTTGGGTACAAATAGGGTGCGCCTGACGCACAAGGAGGAGACATAGGTCGGAATTAAAACAGTAATAAAAATGAAGAGTATATTCATTACTCTATTTTTTGTCGAAAGTTCGAACTCCGCTTCCAGGCGTGTCTGTCAGACTGATGAGGCGAAATGGTGAACGAATCATGGGAAAATAAAACATTCACATTAATCGACATTGAATCGTCTAAGAAAGCAATTTTTTAAAAGCTTTAAAAATTGTCTTGGGCATTTAATGTTCTTAATAAGCGCATCTTATTAAGAAAAATATCCGAAATTTATAAGAACAACAACAAAAACAAAAAACAAACAAACAACAACAATCACTAAAGAAATATATATATATATACACGGACAAATATCGAGTATGTTATTTCGTCTTTGTTTGTTTGTTTTAGTAGCAAAGCCACATTAGGGCTATATGCCGAGTCCACCGCGGGGTGGGGAGCAGTGGCACAGC